GGGCCAGGGCCCCCCCCCCCCCCCCCCGGGCCCCGCCGCCCCACGCCCTCCCAGTAGCCGGCGGTAGCTCCCGGGTCTTCCTCTCTGAGCCGGGTCGCCCCGGGCCAACTTCCGCATCGGTTCTGGCAGCGAGCTCACCGAAGTACACCTCCTTGTCGCACTTGGGGCACTTGGGCATGGCGGCGCGTCCAAGACTGTGGCTGCAACGGCTCTGGAGGTGGCTGTGAGCGCGGGACAGGGTGGCACCCTCGGGTCCTCGCCTTTGAGGGACCCCAGAGCCCCGCCCTTGGTGCCCCGCCTCCGTGCCCCGCCCCAGAATCGGACTTGGACCTCTAGACCTCAAATGGAGGCGGATCCTCCGCAAACTGTAAACTGCCCACACATGCCCCGGGAGGGATTTGCCTGGCAAGGACTGAGCAGGAGCTCGGAGACCGCGGGGATCTCTGGGGCGGGCTGCCCGGGAGCCACCGCCCTGGCGCATCTGGAGGTCCCTGTGAACCAGACACCCAAAGGTGTGCCCTGCCCCAGGCCCCAGGCTGCACCTGCCAGGGTCTGAGATCTGTGGGAGACAGGGAGGGGACAAGGTCACTTCCAAAGTGCAGAAAGAGCAAATTAACATGTGGAAAAGGGCTGGGGACACTTTCCAAGAATCTCAACACAGCTTAGGTCTTCCAGCCCACCGGGCCCAATGGGCACCCCAACCTTTGCCAGTTCTCTTTACCCTGCTGCTCTCTTAAAATTCCACTGGATGCAGCAAGGATATCCCCGGGGGATTTGGAAGAGGGAACTCCCAGCCAGAGCAGCCCTTCCTCCACAGGACAGCAGAGCCTAAATTTGGGTGCCATTGAGCTGGGGGTAGAGAAGAGGCCAATCCTAAGTCTCCTCAGATTCCCAAGTGGGGCTAGTGTCTTATCTCCAGGAACCTCCTGGCACTCAAAATGGTCCAAGTCCAAGCCCAGCTAAGGTGGAGGCCACCCAGCTGGTGCTGGGCAGAGACTATCCTGCCCTGCCCCAAGAACAAGGAAGACTGAAGAGCCATTGCAGGCCCAGGGAGAACTAAGGATTGAGGTTTGAAGCCTCACAGAGAGGACCCTGTGGAGTCCTCCTTAGCTCAGACCTCTTCCTGAGTAGGGTCCCAGCCTAACACTCCAATGCTGGGGTCACAGTCAGCCAAGTCCCATACTCATAGACCCCTCACCTTCCTGCTCTGTGGGTCTCCTGATGGAAAGAGTGACCTCCTCCAGCCCCTGGCCCTGTCCCACTCCCTTCATCCTCTCCTTACCAGGCTCCTCCTTGCCCTGACACACCCATCCCAAACATAAGATGTCTGGCCAGGTGTGGTGACACAAGACTATAATCCCAGAACTCAGGAGACCAAAGTAGGAAGATGGCCATGAGTTCAAGACCAAAAAATAGAGTTCAAGGCCAGCATGGCAAGACCCTGTCTCAAAACCAAGCCAAACCAAACAAACAAACAAAGATGTCACTTTGGGGCTATCCTGGCCTCTTCCTGAAACAGTGCAGTCCACCCTCCCCAGCCCTTGTGCTTTATCCTGACTGTACCTGAGGATCCCCATACCCACTTCCCTGAACCCCACCTGCCCACTGTTACTTCCAGGCCTAGCCCAGAGGGAGGGAGAGAGGGGAAGCCATGGATGTCCCCATCCCAAGATACCCCGTGATGCCAGAGAGCATCATGTGTCCCTCACAGAGGCCACAACTCCAAGGAATCCCCACCCATGTAACCAGAGCTCCTCCTTGCCTTCCCCTCAACTGTCCTCTGAGGGCTGACTGGGGCTCTCTACAAACTCTGAGGTCCATAAGGACATGTCGGCCCTCAGTGACTAGGGCTCCCCAAACGGCTACACACAGTCCCTGCCAGGACAGACCTGTCCTGGGTCAGGTAGGCCTTAAAAGCCACCTTGAGGCAAGCCACCTGCTTGCTCTGCTGGACTCAGGCACTACTGGGTGACTCCTGGTCTCTAGGCCACCAACCCAGCCCTGCTCCACCTCTTCTGCCATCTCTTGGGCTCTCCTTCCAAGTCTAATAACAAGGAGGCAAATCTTGACTTCCCCATTCCCTGATCCCTGAGAGTAGTATGGCCCTAAGTAGGCAGGGACACAGCCAGGGCAGAGATGCAGACAAATTTGGGCAGAGGATTCCAGGGGGAGGAGTGCTGGGCAGAGCCCCACTTACATGGGAGAGGCCAGAGAAGGGTAGAGGTCCTCATTGGGCAGTTTCCAGGGTACTCATCATCTCACTGTTCTAGGAGCCCAGGGCACCCAGCACATGGCTCCACCTTGGGGCCATGTACATCAGGGCCCAGAGCCCAGGTCACTCACAAACACACACACACACACACACACGATCTGCAGGCATCCTGTGAGGTTCCATCAGGGACTTGGGGTCATACATGTGGTCCCACAGCACATGACCAAACATGTTTCTGTGTAGTCTCACCCACCCGGACTCTGGGACAGGTGTCTCAGAGCTTCACCCAGGTGACATTTTCAGGGGTGAAGTGGGGCAATGCTCCAATCCTCAGCCCCTTCCACTGCCTCACTCAAAGGAGGACTCCTTCCACACCCAGACCACAGCCCTGTCTTGCCAGGGAGCCCCCCTGAAACCCTTGATGAGTCCTTCTTGGCCACCCCTGCTGTTGTTTTCATTACCATGGTCACAGGGTGGGGGAGAGATGCCAAGGGAGGCAAGGGCCATGGGCCACGCCCTATGTTAGTACGCAGCAGTTTTTCCAGACGACTCAGAGGCATACTCATAAAGACACGTGTACACACACGCACACACAGGCACACACAGAGATACAGACACATGCAGACACACACAGATATGAAGACAAGCATACAGCTCACACACAAAGGTATGCATACACACGCCATCTCTGGACCCCTCCCAAATTCCAGCCACAGGCTGACGTGGCCCCAGCTGCCCTTTTTCTCCCTCTGCTCCTCACCATCCTGCCTGTGGGTGGGGCTCTCATCAGCTGCAGCCACAGCTGTGTCCTCCACCCAGACTCCACATCCCAGTAGCAGACTCCAAAACCAGTACCAGTAGGGTACTTGACCACGCAGGTGCAAGGCCACTGCTTCCTTGAGCTCAGCCCAATTTGTCTTGCCAGGGGCAACCTGGCTCAAGGGCAACCACTCCACCTCTGCCACTGCCAGTGCTGGAGGCCATCCACACAGAAGGTAGAGGAATGAGAACAGGACATTGAATTCCCTGAGGCCTGTCTCGGGGTTTGGGTCGGAATGTTCAGCAATTTCAGGGTTGGAGAACTGGTTGGCGGGGGATTTAGGATTCCTTCCAGGCTGCTGACCTCATGTCTGCACACACCCCTGCGCCCCCAACTGGCCATCCAGAGAAGGCAGGACTGGGTCCAGTGACCCCTGAGGACTTGCCACTACTCCCACCTGACTTGCCGCTCCAACTGCTGAGCAAGGCTCCTGCCCTCCACTCCACACATTCACCCAGCACCTAGCCCAGAGCCCTGCTGAGAGTATGCAGAGGCATGAAGAAACTCCCAGGGCTAAAGGCAAGCTTCTGGCACCAAGTTGCCAACACAGGCTGCAGTGAAGTGTGCAGGAGTAAGGGGAAATCAGCTCAGGCCTCCAACCCCCACCCTCCCTCCAGGAGCAGTCCAAGACAGTCACAGTTCCCAGGGCCTATTTTCAGCAACTTGTCTCCAGGGACCCCAAGCTGGCCAGGGATCTGGCCCCATATAGGCCTGATGGGCCAAGGCCCATTGCAGGGTGGGGAGCGCTAGATGCTTCTTCCCAGCCAGGTTCCTTTGCCCTTCAGGCCCTACACCTCAGGCCCAAGTGGAGGCTGCTCAGCCTTCTCCTCTCCAAGAGGCAGCAGGACAGGGTCAGGGGTCTGTTGTGGAGGGGTGGGGGCTTCCCAGCTGGCCCTTCCCTGACAGGGCTGCACTCCTGCCTAGCCTTCAGTCTGGCCAGATGGGGTGCCCCTCCTTTCCCCATCCCTTGGGGCTGGGCTTGGTGCCCAGCCTACTTCCTGGAACCAAAGTCCTGGCAGAACCATCTTGAATTCCAGCCTCACCATCCAGCAGCTGAGGTCCTGTTTATGAGCCAGCAGTTGAGCCCACTGCACAGCCAGCCAGGCCCTGATAAATAGCTGCCCACACCTGGCTGCCCTGGTTCCTCACCAGTCCTTGTCTGTGCCCGCCAGAGGCCTATGGTGATTTCCTGCTTCCCATCCCACCAGGTTAAAACCAGCTGCCAGTGAGCTGGACCCAGAGACAGCAAGGGCATTGTGCTGCCGCCCAAATCCTGCAGAGGTTCTGGAAAGAACCTGATCAAGATGGGGCCTGCAAGGAGCCAGGGATGGGGAAAATGCCAGGCCCGCTGCAGGGTCAATGGCCAGAGGAAGCTGGGTGGGACCTGGAGGATGAGCTCTGGAGACAAGCACTCTGGACTAGGGAAGTGCAAGCAGCGGGCCACAGACTGATCCCACCCACTGAAATGGCCGGGTGGGAAGTCCAGCTAGGGTCCCACTGGCACAGGGACAGCACCATGCAGGGGAGGGTGTCCAGGCTGGAGTGTGTCTGGGAGCATCTTGGAGAAGAGGCCTAGGTGAGTCCAGTGCCTTGGGACAGTGCTGTGCAGAGCCCTGGGGCAAGGCTCCTCATGGGTCCCTGCATGCAGCTCCCAGATGTCCCAAAAGAGGACAGAAGTGGTCAGATGGCTTTTTTTTTTTTGGCAGGGTACTGGGGATTGAATTCGGATCCTTGGGCTTGCAAGGCAGGCCACCGAACCGCTTAGCTAAATCCCCGGCCCTCAAATGGCATTTTGGAGTCAGTTCACTGGCTGGGTGAGAGTCAGAGGGATAAGGCTGGTGGGCAGCCTCCTGGAGGGGCGAGGAAAGGTGGATTCCAGGGCAAAAGCATTCAGTCCCCCTCCCCTCCACTTGGGGGCATCGGGAGCTGGTGCCACCAAAAGAGCCTGAGGTGGTGGGTGGAACACCGCCTGGCAACAAGGCCCAGACAAACAGTAGCAGCAACGCCCCCGGTTTCCATGGAAACCCCACAGAAACAAACATAACAGTGTCATCTACCCCAGCAGGAAATAGCCTGCTCCTGCCTGGGTGGGGGAACACTTCTGGCCACAGGGCCAAGGGACCTATCTCCTGATCTTCAGCAAGACTGCTGTCTCTCAGCTCCACTCAGCCCAGCAAGGCTTCTTGCCCTGATTTGGGGAAGGTCCCCTTCGTGCTTTCCTCCCACTCAGCAGAAGGCAGAACATCACCTGGCACCAGGAGCCCAGGAGAGTGCGGAGGGCTCCTGGCCAGTGACCTCTGGACTGAAGCTGAAACTCAGCCTCTTGAGGTGGGGGGGCCCAGCTGGGCCTCTGAGCACCAGGTGTATGTGATTGATACCTGCTTCAGCCTCTCCTCATAGGGAAGCTGTGATGGCTACAATCCAGGATGCATGGGAGGCAATGGAAGCACCACTGGCTAACCCTAACCAGAGCCAGCCCGTGACCCACACCCAGGGACAGGAACACAGACACTGCTCACAGGATTTCGGGTCTGGCTTCCAGACTCAGTCATGCCAGCTCATATCCTGAAGGGGGTGGTACACAGGCCTGGAGTGTCAACTTTGCTCTGTAGAGTGACCAGGCCTGAGAGCCACTAGCTCCAGGTGGGTGACAGGGTGTAGTGCCCTGCTGGAGCAGAAAGAGCCCAGGGAGGCCCCGAAATGCTGCAGTAACTGAGCCAAACACAGGTACTCCCTCTCGTGGGTGTCCTCAAAGTGGCAGGTGGTAGAAGCATCCAGAGAGGAGGAGGCTCCTGGGTATCCAGGAGGGAACCTGGGTCATGTGTGCAGCCCAGGCAATTTCCTTTATCACTTTAGACCCAGCCACTAAGCACCTGGGCAGACACAGCCTGAGATGAGCCACCCCCACCACTTAGAGGCTAGCCAAGCAAAGATGTCATTCTGGAAGGGGCCAGCTCTATCCTAGTTACACCCCTCCAACCTTCCAGGACTCCACCCCAGGCCACAGCTGCTCACCCACCCCTCACCAGTGCCCCATCCTTTGCACAGGACCCCCAGCTGGTCACCTGCCTGCCCCAGTCTCCTGGCTCTTTGCTTGCTGCTGTTTCCAAGGTCTGGGTCCAGCCAAAAGGACCACCTCCCTGAGGTCTCAGAATGAACCCCACCCCACCTGCCCTCACCTGGACCTCCTCCTGGGATGCCCCTTCCTCTGCCCAGTGATGGTCCCGATGTCCAAACCAGGTCCCTCTCAAATATCATTGGACTCCACCTCAGCCAGGGGCCCTGGCTGGGAACATGGGTGGATGGACAAAGGGACACTGTTCTAGAGTCACACACACATCCCACAATCACAGACACAGAGCTGGGTCCTGCGATCCCCAAATCTTTATTGACAGCAAAGTCTCAGGACCAAGTGTGAGCCATGTGGGGGTGAGGAGACAGCATAGGGACCAGGCAGAAGAGTGACCCTGCCCTGGGGACACTGTGAGCATGTGGCCATCACCAGCAAGCTGCAGCATAAATATTGGTGGGCAGGCACGGGCAGCAGGAGGAGGGCAAGATAGCTACCTCAGAAAGCTACCAGTGTCATGGGGTCACATGGAACACAGAGAATGATGGGGCAGAGGAGCACACAGAAGGGGTCGTAGGGACACACAGGACCCCATGACAGGGACACACCATGGCATGGGCTGGGCTTGGGCAGCTCTGCAGATGTCTCCTGCCTCCTTCTCCTCCTGGCAGGCAGGACACACTGAGGCAGGGGGAAGGGGGTCACAGTCCCCCACAGAGTCAGATAGGGGGCCCGGGCAGGGTCAGCAGGAGGCAGACAGACCCTGCCCCATAGAGGGGATGGGTTTAGGGCTGAACAGTGCCTTCAGGGTCTCTGTCATAGATGTAGCTGCCCACGGCCCCAGTATTCACTCCTATGGAAAGAGGTGGCTGTAGTGGCCAGGCAGGGACAAGTTGGGGCCTGGGCAGGGGAGGGAGTACCTACCGACACCCTGCACTCCCTGGCTACACTCACCCTTGGGTCCGAAGAGGATTCCATAGCAAGGCTTGTGGCAATAGGGCTGGCCATCATGCTGCAGGCAGAATGCGGACAATGCTGGACACAGACCCTTCTCCCCACTCCCCAGAGATGGCCATCACTGTGACTGGTGGTCTCCCTTCTGAGAACCCTGTGGCTCCAAGGCCAAGTTCAGACTTGCTCACCTCAGGGGTCTCCTGGACCCAACCTTGCTAAGGACTCAACCCATGCTCACCTCTGCATGCCCTCCTGGTGTCAGCGTCTTGGCACAGCGCTCACAGCGCAGGCATGGCCGGTGCCAGTCCTTGCCCAGAGACGTCACTTTCTCAGCTGCAAGGGAAGGGCAGGTGACAAGGCTGCCCACAGACTCCCTGAGGCAGGGTGAGGCGGGGATCACTTACCGAAGTAGACCCTCTTGTTGCAGCGAGGACACAGGTTAGGCTCCCCGGTGAACGTGGTCACACTGGAGGCTATGGGAAGGTGGTGTCAGGGCCACCAAGGAACCCTGGCTCCCCAGAATCCCCGCCCCCAACCTCCCACCCCTGCCTCTCCCCCAAGGACCTTACCTCTGCTGGGCCCCCTCGGAGGGCCACTAGCCTTCCGTTCCTCAGCACGGGCTGCAGGGGCCTCGATGGGGCCAGTGACCAGTGCACCCTCAGAGACAGGCTTCTCATAGATGTAGGAGCCTGCGCCACCAATGTTCACACCTGCAGGTATTGGAAGGTTGGGCAGTGGCCAGGGTACACAAACCCACCCAACCCAGGCTTTTTGGGAACCATGGGGCCAGGGCACCCACACTTCACCAGGTCTGCTGGAGTTCAGCAGAGATCATGGCCTATGCCACTCACCTTTGGGTCCAAACAGCGTGGCATAGCAGGGCTTGTGGCAGAAGGGCTTTCCATCGTGCTGGGTGGAGGGTGGGGTCAGAGGTCAGGCTGCTGAACCTGCTCCCTCCCACCTTCCATCCCCATCCCCTCCCCGCTTACCTCTGCATGGCCCCCTGGTGTCAGAGTCTTGCAGCAGCGCTCACACTTGAGACAGAACTTGTGCCAGTCTTTGCCCAGGGAGCTCACTTTCTCAGCTGCAAGGGGTGGGGTGAGATGGTGTCAGGTCCCCTGTGCTCACTGGCCCCAACTGTCCCCCCTCTGTGACTACCATGACTCCTGGATACACTGCCCCCTCAAGCATCTGCCCTCTCTTCCTGGAATACCTGCCTCCTGGCACCCCTGCCCCCACACCTGCCTCCCCCACACCTATCTTCCCTCTCCCTTGTCCCTGACAGCCTCTCCCTACAAGGGCCCTAAATGAGCTGAGGGGCAGCCCTGAGCTGCCAGCCTGCGTTTTGGGAAAGCTAATCCTCCTCCCATGGGACCCCAGGCAGGACCCCATCTGTCTATATTTGGTCTCCTCTTCCTAAGCCCTGAGATCCCCCCACCCTGCTGCCTCCAGCTGCTGCCTAGGCGCCAAAGGTCTGTGGCCAGTTGCTGAGGATCAGGTGCTCACCATCCCCACCCTGTAGGGGGGATGCTCAGCCACCTCCAAATGGACGGAAGCTAGGCGTCCCCACGGGGCTGAGGCAGGAAAAGGGTGGAGAGTAGGGCAGGAAGAAGAGCTGGAGCAGAGCCAGAGCTGGAATTCCACAGGGAAGGAGCCAGACTGGAAGCATCCGGAGGAGAGTGTCACTAGTTAGGCTCCAGCCACCCTGCTGAGTGCCACCTCCCTTTGGCCAGGACACCCCACCAGGACACAATCTATGTCAGAGGCACAGGGGAGCTGCTCTGAGACAGCAAACCTGGATCCTCCAAGTGGCCCAAGAGGGGCTGACTCCTGCTCTCCAAGGCCCCGAGGGAAACTGCTGGGCACAGCCCACAGGCCACCTCCTGGACGCTTCTCCACATGTCCCCACAACACAGGACAATATCTGCTCAGTATCCTGTGGGGATGCTATGTGCACCAGGGCAGGCAGAGCCACCTGGGAGGAAGGTAGGCTTGGTAGTGCTGCAATAGGAGGTTGCCAGGTGGCCATCGCAGCTGCTGTTCAGGGCTGCCAGAACCAAGCTGGCCCAGTCAGCTCCAGGACATGGGCAATGTAGGGACAGAAAGCTGACCTGCAGACCGCTGGCTGGGTCAGTGGGCACATTATAGGCTGGAGCTGGGAACAGAGGATCGATCACGCTAATGGCTTTGAGAGAGCCAGCTCCCTGCCCAGCTGCCTGTGCTTTGGGGGACACAGAGGCCCAACACCCTGAGGTTTCCCCCTGAAGAATGTCCCCACTGAGTGAGTCCACTCCAGCATGGGCTGCTGGGGCACAGGATCCTGAAACCCCTGTTAGTGCTTTACCACAGCCTTGGGCAGGAAAGAAGCCAGCTGGTTCTGAGGGCCTGTGTTCCTGCTGAAAGCCCAAGCCAGCAGAGTGCTTTTCCGGGTTGCCTGTTGGACTAGGCCCCAGAGAGCTCAGAGCTGGCGAGGCCTAGGGCAAAGACATGGAGGGCCTGGAGACTGTCCCCACCTAGAGCCCTCTCTGGAGCAGGGAGGAGGGCTGGGCTAGCTCCTGAGGAGGCAGCAGGAAGCCCCTGGGGCTCCTGGGGCAGAAGCACTCCCAGCAAATCCAGGTCCTCCCCCTGGGAACAGCAAACCACAGTGTGGCTTCTACTCCTCCAGTCAGCCGGGAAGCCCAGAGGCCTCCTCCACATCCTGGCCACCGACCATTGTTCCTGGGATGACCAGCAAGGGACCCTGCCTATCCAGCCCTTCTGCTACCCTCCATTCTGGCTGGCCCGCTCCGTCCCTCTGTGGCAAAAGGAGGGGAGGCTCAGACAGAAGGAAAGAGCAGGGGGTGCAGCCCAGGGATCAAACCGAGCAGGACAGGGGCCGGTGAGTGCCTGGGAGGGGGTGATTGGGGTACCTGGGGGGCAGACCAGCCCCTTCTGCCTACCTGTACTTGTGCCCCGCCATCCTGACCTCCAGGAGCCCGGGATCCTGGCCACCTGTGCCCTCTCAAGCTCGTGGGACCTACAACTCAGCTCCATCCCGCTCCACCCCACCCACCTCCGTGGGAACCTGCAGGGGAACTCGCTAGAAAAGCGAGCTCGTTGGGATATGCGGGAGGCGGAGCCCCCCCACCCCCCGCTTGGTAGAATCGCGACACCTCTGGCTCTGGCCCCGAGGCCCGGGGAGACACTGGGAAGGCTGAGGTCACGGCTCCCGCCAAGCGCTTGTGGGCGGAGGGTCCGGGCGCGGAGGGGATGTTGGGACCCCTGGGGTGGAATGCCGGCCGACCCCAGGCTGCT